TTTCTCCTGTGGGTATCATGGAGCCTAAGGGTTTGATGAGGCCAATGACAGCCAGGGTTGGCTTTTCCAGATGTGCAGGGAAGATGTACTTGTACAGCGATGCCTGGCCATCTTCGACTTTCACTACAGTTTCATCAAGGAAGGGGAAAGCAAAGGTGTATCCAGTGGCAAAGACAATGATGTCAATGGGCTGTTCCTTTGGGGTGTAGTTAAATATGACAGAGTTTTTCTTCACCTCCTTTATGCTTGGCTTGATGAGCACTTTCCCAGTGATGATACGGCCTGGGAGCTCGTCATTTATCACAGGCTCTTTCATCTGCGTCCTGAACAAAAACACAGGAGAGATATATCTGCCAGTGAACAATACAGCAGCCCTCTTGCCTCCTCCCTTCCTGTCTTCATTCGGGGACCCTGCTCCTGGCTAGGCAGGAGGTGCCAGTCTTTTTAAATCCTTCCTGAGCTTAAAACATTTTAAAAAATAGACTTTATATCTTATTGCAGTTTTAGGTTCACATCAAAATTAAGTTGAAAGTACAGAGATTTACCATATACCCTTTGACCCTCCTCACACAAAGCCTCCCCGATCCTGATCCCCCACCAGAGTGGTGCATTTGTTACAATCAATGAACCTGCACGGACACATCCTCATCATGAAACCTGGGCTCCCCTACTTTTCCTACCCATCCCCCACTTTGGCAACCATGAGCTTGTTCTCTGTATCTATGGGTTTGTTTGTTTTGTCTTGTTTATTAATTTGATTTGTTATTTTAGATTCCACCTAGAAGTGATATAATACGGTATTTGTCTTTCTCTGATTATTTCACTTAGCATACTATCCTCTAGGTCTATTCATGTTGTCACAAATGGCAAGATTGCATTCCTTTTATTGCTGAATATGACCATACCACATCTTCTTTATCCATTTATCTATCCATACACATTTAGGTTGCTTCCATATGCTGGCTATTACTAGTAATGCTGCAATGAACATATGGGTGCATATATATTTTTAAATTTGTGTTTTTGTTTTCTTTGGATAAATCCCCAGAAGTGGAATTGCTGGATTGTATGGCAGCTCTATTTTTAACATGAGAATGCCAGTGTGGATGGGAGAGTTGGAAGGGGTCGACCTCAGCGAACGTACCTCAATCAGAGTGAGGACATTTTTAGTAAAGGCCAGCTTAGGAGTTCCCTAATTAAGTTAATAACAATGTACCTACCTATATAGTTTAAGTTTAAAAAATTTGGCTCTCAAAAGAAATTTCAATCGTTGTACTGTTGATATTTGGCTCTGTTGACTAATGAGTTTGCCGACCACTGGCTCTATACTGTTTTCCTTAGTGACTGCACTAATTTACAATCCCACCAACAGTGCATGAGGGTTCCCTTTTCTCCACACCCACGCCAGCACTTGTAATTTGATTTATTGATGATAACCATTCTGACAGATGTCAATTGATATCTCATTGTGGTTTTAATTTGCATTTCCCTGATTATTAGTGATGTTAAGCATCTTTTCATGTATCTGTTGGCCATTTTTATGTCTTCTTGGGAGAAATGTCTATTCAGGTCCTCTGTCCATTTTTTAAATGATCTTTTTGGGTGTTAAATTATATGAGTTCTTTATATATTTTAGATATTAACCCTTTATTGGATATATTATTTGCAAATGTCTTCTCCCATCAGTATAGGTTGTCTTTTCATTTTGTTGATGCTTTCTTTCATTGTGCAAAAACTTTTTAGTTTTTTCAGGTCAGGAAAATTTTTAGCTATTATTTTTAAAAATAAAGTTTCAGTTCCTTTTTCTTCTTCTTTTGAGATCCGTATAATGCAACTGTTTGAGCACTTGATATTATCCCTGAGGTCCCTAAACTACCCTCATTTAAAAAATTTATTTTTCCTTTCTGCTATTTTGATTGGCTGATTTCCACTAGTCTGTGTCCTAGGTTGCTGATCTGTAATTACGTGTTAGTTAATATGCTGTTGATTCCTTCTAATGTGTTTTTTCATTTTAGATATATACTTCAAGTTGGCTTGATTTTTCTTATACTTTCTAACTGTTGAAATGCTCCCTAAATTCCTCTATTTTACTCTCCAGTTTGGTGAGCATACTTATGACCATTTTTTTTGAATTCTTCTTCTTCTTTTTTTTTAATCTTTACCCAAGAATATTTTCCCATTGATTTTTAGGGAGAGTGAAAGAGAGAGGAAAAGACAGAGAGAAACATCGATGAGAGAAACACATAGATTTGTTGCCTCCTGCATGTGTCCCGACCCAGGGCTGGGGCTGGGGAGGAGCCTGCAACCAAGGTATGTGCCCTTGACTGGAATTGAACCCGGGACCCTTTGGTTCACAGGCCGACACTCTATTCACTGTGCCAAATTGGCTAGGACTCTTTGAATTCTTTATCAGACAAATTATTTATCTTGGTTGCCTTAGGATTTTTATCTGGGGATTTTTCTTGTTCCTTCATTTGAGAGATATTCGTGTGCCTTTTCCTTTTGGTTGACTTTCTATGCTTGTTTATATGAATTAGACAAAATATCTGTCTCTTCCAGCCTTGGAAAAGTGGTTTTATATGGAAGTGGCCTCTGTGCAGGCTGTGTGTGCTGGGTGCTTTTGGCAGGCTGGTAGGAGCCGAGTGGCTGCCAAGGTATCTGGGGTGCTGCCCCACTAAGCCAGCGTGCCTCCAGATGGGGAGGCCAGCCAGGTGCATGTGATGCTGCCCTGCTGATCCCGCTTGCTCCCTATGTTCCACCCAAAATGGGCTTGTGTCCAGGAACACCTTACAGAGACCTTGCAGCCAGGCCAGAGCACCTGGACAGAGCCCAGGGCCACCCTAGGGAGGTGGAGGGGGACTTAAACCATGGCCCTTAGCAGCCCATCCAACCTGGGAGAATTCCAGCAGCCCCGGAGAGCTCTCACGGCTCCCCAGCCTTCTGTATACAGCGTCTCTCGTGTTTGTTGTTCACATTGTGGTCCCGTGTAGAAAAGACCTCTGTGTGGGCTTGATGTGCCGGGTAGTTTTGGGAGGCAGATTGAAGCTGGTCAGGCACGTATTGCCCCTGGAGCACCGGCCTGCAGGTGCACATGGTGATGCCCTATTGTTCCAGGCAAATCCAGGTGGTGTAGCTGGGAACGCTCCAGTGACCCCGCAGGTAGGCCCCAGCCCTGAATAGAGCCTCCGTGGGCCCTATGGAGCTGGAGGGGATATAAGAACTGCGCTCACTGGCTCCTCGGCCCGGGCTTCCGGAGGCTGCCCTTCCCCAGCCTCTGACGGTCTGTCAGGGTGGTGGTTCTGAAGGTGGTGGGTAGAGAACCGCTCTCGGCGCAGCGCCAGGTGCAGCTCCAGGTGCAGGCAGTTCCGGA